GAAGGAAGATGGGGCAATCTACTTCCGTAGTGATACTGCCTCAGAAACCCAAGGAGGGGTCGCTATGAGTCAGGTCCGACTCCACGGCACATAACAACAACAATCACATCAAGCTCATTCCCTCAGGCCACAGAATCTGATAAACTGCCCCTCTGGGAAAGCATATGGTCATACACTGCACACTCAAATGCACTTGAATTTTGGTTAACAGTCCTTTTTTTGTACACTCAACAGAATAGTTCCCAGTTGATGCTTTAAATAAATCCAAAAGCTTTTCTTTCCACACTCAAACAAGAGATACATAGAAAACAAAGGCCTTAGCCTGACCCACAAGGAGCTCTGGTGGTGCAGTGCCTAAGTCATCTGACTACTAATCAGGTTGGTGGTACAAACCCACCAGCCACTCCAAGGAAGGAAGATGAGGCAATCTGCTTCCATAAAGATTTACCACCTTGGAAACCTACTGGGGGTCGCTATGAGTCAGAATTGACTAAAGGATAGTGGGCTTGTGGGTTTTTTAAAAAAGCCTGACCCACAGTACATAGCTTTTGCTCTACCACCAATCGGTTCTGCGACTTTCCATATTGTTATCTGAAGTTGTTAAGTGTCTTATCATCCAAAAACAATTGGGAATGCTACCCTTCATCCACAGAGGAAGAGAAAAATAATGACCATCCATAATTTACTCTGGATCAAAGTGGGAGTACATGGAGTGCAGACAGATTGTCTAACTATGCAAAATTTTAAAAGCATATTCAGTACAGTTTGACAAGAAGATTCCAGGGGGCATGGCAAACACTGGGTCACTGTCCCTCCACTCAAGAGATGGCTGTCTTCGAAGATCAGAGCACAGCCTTCATCCTTACCCATGGTTACTTGCTGCACTTCGTTGGTAAGTGAATTCCACCGGCAAACTTTTTTTGCAGGAATATCTACGAAGAGCAGAGAGTTGGACGTTTCCTCCCACACTGGAGACTCACCGCACCGGCAGTTCATTTGCAAAACACACTCAATCTTAATGGAAGACATTGTCAGAGTGGAAATCTACTGAAGGTAATAGAGATAAAATGAAATGTAATCACATGGAGCAAATTAAGTAAAATACCTGCCTTAGCACTCCATAAGAACCCAATACAGACTATTCTATTACAACTGGAAAGGCTGGTTTTGGAAGATCAAAGCAATATAAATTATGCAATGTGCCAAGAGAGACATGTATGAAAAAAAAAGAACAGGAGAAAGAAGATAGCATGAGACAAATTCAGTCAATTTACCAGTTATTTTTTTTAAAAAAGGGGTGAAAGACAGCACCACTCCAACACCCACACCTTGGCGCTGCTGACCTTCAGAAAGTACGTGGTTCCTTGTAAGGCTGCCCTTTATGCCTGTACCCCAGCCCCCAAGCGGTCCTGGGGGCGGGCGACTTCCTCATTGGTGGCCCCTCTGGGCCTCTGCGCATCACCTTCTCCTACTGCCCTGCCCACCTACTGATGCTGGTGATTCCCTTCTCTGACTGCTGGGGCCTTCCTGATCATTTAAAATCCAGAACTGCATTTTTAGAAATATGTTCACAGTGATAACACATTGAATTAGAACTAATATCCATTTTTCAAATTCAGACAATGCAAAGGGCTGGAGGAAGGGTGGTCATCGTCTGGGCACCATTATAGGAATTGACAGCTCCTTAGTCCTTCTTACTGCCTATGAAGGTACTGTGCCAGTTTGGCAAGGCATTTTGAATTCCAGAGACAGGTATATTCTATGCTGGACTTTAGGCCAGAGACTGTGACCAGTGAACTAGGAGGAAAAACTATCAGAAACAAACAACAAACAAACTGAAAAAACCCATGTGAGATAGGAAAAGAACAAGCCAGCAACTTACAAGGGTCTTCTCCCCTTCCCAAACTGCCTTGAGTAGATTAAGTATAAAAAATTGCCTGCATTTTCATCCTTTCCAGGGCAGCTATCTGCTTTGTATGCTTTGTAGTAA